CGTCGGTTCGGTTGTGTACCATGATTCGTATCCTTTGTTTTTCACAGTTTTCCAGAAATGACGCCCATCATCTTGGAATCAAGCGGTCCATTGGCGAAGCAGATCGAGGCGATCGGATTGTTGTGTGTAAAATAAGGCGCAGGAGCCTGGAATCAAATGATTAGTCAGCAACAGGGGATTTAATTTCGGGAAAACAATGATCTATATGATCATTGTTTGCTCTGGGAGAACAATGATCTCCTGCTGATCTTGTTTGCCAATCATGCATGAGAAGAGCTGCATGCTAGGTGATCTATATGGAGAGGCAGGTGCAGAAATTCAGTGGACGATGGATGCCTGAAACTACAAGCTACCTAGCTTTTAAAACATTTCTTTGGGGTACTTAAAAGTGCATTGGATACATATGAACGTACACCGATGTGCTTCCGTAGGCGTGCTCAATAAATTGCTATACGGTAGACAGCACCGAGACCGTCTCCTGCTTTCGATGGAAGCGTTAGCACGCTCGCCTAATAGATGGGTCGGTCGACGCACGTAAGGTAGTAGGTACACGTCGATGTGGCCGGCCCGGGCACCAGGGGCGGAGCCAGGATTTTGGTATAGGGGGGCCAAGTTGAGTTGAAAAAATTGTCCAAAGCAAGGAAATAACTTAATAATATGTCATTTTGAGGCCATAAAAATGGATACATTTGTACATTATTAGTTTACATTTAGCTCTACCATTATCAATGAGATGAAAAATTAACAAATTCATCCAAAGAAAACTTAGCTACTAATTTTATTCAACGTAGATTTTTATGCAATACCGAAGAAGTTGTGTCCTATTTGGGGGCTCTTAGAAAACAAATAAACTTTAGACTGTTTGAGGGCGATTTCTATATTCATAACTGCCCAAACGCAAGCTTCAGAAACAGCCTCACAACACAAACAAAAGAACTGAATCTGATGTATAATTTTGACACGTCGGGAACTAAAATCTGATGTATAATTTTGACACATACAAGAACTAAAATCCCTTATAGAATTAGCATCACGACAGAAGCATTGAGAGAGATCAATACAGTAATCGGTAATGCTACTGCTAACCTTGTCTAATTCCTTCCGGACTGAAGAATTGACAAGGGCAGCCTGAGGTCATAGCTCTTTTTCGCATTGCAGCACATGCGGTTTCAATCTAATCCCAAGCAGGAAGGGGCGACAGGGTGCAGGGAGGAGCAGAGGCGGCAGTAGGGGCGTAGGGTGGGCAGAGGTGCAACGCCAATTACACGCGTGAATGACGGGTGAGGCTAATTACGCATGGCCTGGAAGACCTTTTTTTTCGAGAATTGGGTCTGGAAGTCATCTGTCCACTTGTGGGCTGTCTCGTGGGCTTTTTCTTCTTTTCTCGTTTTATTACACTTGTGATGGGAGGGGCCAAGTACGTGCAATTGTATGATTTTCGCTAATTAATCGGTACCTGATAAACGTTCCTTCGATCGTTAGGGGGGGCAGGCCCCTGCTCGCCCCCCCCCCCCCTTGTCTCCGCCACTGCCAGGCACCAAGCGTTCCCAATATTGATGAATGTACCATTTCTTTTCTGTCTTGGGCCAATGTAGATAAAATCGTTTGGACTTCTGAGTGAGATAATGCAGTTGGATTTCTGTAGGTATCGACCGCCAGAATGCAATGCCAGAGTCGATGCACGAGAGAGGCGACGATTGGACCGGGCGACTCACTCTGTCCGCATGCGTCAACACATAGTTCCCCGCTTTGAGTTTCATCTCAGTTCACCATCCGTCGATCTCTGCACAAAAAAGTTCAGCACGTGTCGATCTGTCTCTTTTGTTTTGCTTTGCCCTGGCAACAATAGCTAGGGTCGCATGGGTCGAGTGGGGAGTGAGGCACTACGTCTATATCTCGCTTAACACACGTTCTACTTAGCGTTCGCCTCTGGCGTTTCTTCAGCGGGCTATTAGCTCAAAAACACTGTGAGAGGGTAACGATTTTCTTTCTGAAAAGGTTTTGGTTGCTTTTTCCTGTGTTATTCTTTTATTGGTTTTCTATATGCGCCTCTATAGAGTTCTCATCGGGGGTTTCCATATATTTTATGTTCGTTTCCCCCCTTTTTCAATTTTTTCTCAAAGACATGTCTATTTTTTAATACACATTCAACAATCCACAATGCATGTCGGGTTTTGAAATATATATTTGAACATTCTTTTGAATACATGTTAAAGATTCATCAAATACACATTCAATTTTTTTGAATGGTATGAGTTTTTTAAAACAAATCATGAATATTTATTTACACTGTTTTGAATGGTAAGAGATATTTTCTAAAAATTATGTAAACATTTTATTAGATTGTGTAAAAAAATCACAAACACTTTTTTTGTCAAAAATGGGAATATTTCTTTAAAAGCCAATTACATATTTTATAAATTTTACGAAGTGTTCGTGATTAAAGGAATATTTTTTATATTTGTATGAACATTACTTGAAAATTTCACAGACAATTGTTTGAAGCACAAACTAATTATGAACAATCATGATTTTTTTTGAATTATAAGTACATTTTTTGAATAGTTCAATCATTTTATCAAGTTCAAATAATGTAATTATATTTTTAGGGGTATTTATATTTTAAATCAATTCAGGAATATATTGAAAGTAATAAAAGGGAAAAAAGAAACAAACAAAACGAAGCAGACTACTTGCCCGTACTTTTATCCGCTCCTCTTCCGTACCTATGTCTCGCTTATTGTGAGAGACGTAGGGCACTATATAGGGCCGACCCAACTAGCAAGGCCACAGGCCACAACCTCATTTTTTTCTTTTCGATTTATGGTTTTATTTTTTTATATTTCCAACTATTCTAAATATAATATTATAAAAACACTTCAGATAAAGCATTTGAAAAATCATAATCAGGTATTTGAAAAGTATGAAATTTTATAGAAAAAAAGTTTCTTAGGTATAAGAAAACTGTATAAAATGTGTATGAAAACCGTTGATCATATATAGAAAATGTTAATATTTTTTTGAAAATTTTTAGTTGAGCATTTGAAAATATTAAATATGTATAGAAAAATTTTGCTCATGTATACAAAAAATGCATGCAAAAAATAAACAATATTTGTGAAAACAATGGTGATTATGTGTTTAGAAAATATTAATCAAGCAGTTGAAAATTAGTAAATCTGTGTAAAAAATGCTTCTCATGTAGTATACAAAATATATACAATGTGAATGCAAAGGTTTGATCATGTATTTGCAAAATGTTAAACATGCATAAGGAAATGTTCCCGATGTATACCAAAAAGGTACAATGCACGATGAATAAAATTAAGCATCAAAACAAAGAAAAACAAAGAAGACCGATGGAAAACAAAAGAGAAAAAATAAACAATAAAAATAAAAATAAGAAAGAAGTAGTAAAGAAACAAAAAGAAAGGGGAAGAAAATGTAGAAACCGAAAAAGAAACATACAAAATAAACATATAAATAAAAAAACCGAAAATAGGGAGAAAAAACAAGATATAACAAAGATGAAAAATAAAAATAAAATCAGTGAAGAAAACAAGAAAAAAAACAAAGAAAATCCGAAGCCAAACAGTGAAAAAAAAACACAAAGTAAACTGGCCCAAAATAGTGGAGAAATAAAAAAAACAGACAGAGAAAAAAATGAATGCATTACTAGATTAATGGACCGGCCGATCGCGCACCGTTTCTGGCTAGGGTGAGCTATCTTCTGGGTTTAAGCGAGATATAGGTCGCGCGCGTCCGGAGTGAGGAGCCAATCCCATATAGGTTAACCTGGGCTGCCAACCAGGCCATGGAAGTTAATTCGGCACATCATCATTGGCTTGGTAAATCGTTGGGTCCAAAATCTCGGGCTAGTCCCGGCCTAACTTTTAGAAGTTTTTAGAGCGAAATTGAGTCAAAGGAGCCAATATGTACAGTTCATTACAATAATGTTCTATACCATTTACTGCATCAACCGAACTGCTGCAGAAAAACACATCAGGAAGATACTGGTTGCTCTGAATACACTGCACTGCTGCAGCCTATTCCTCCGATGCAGTGGCCATAAATACGGAATTAAAGATACGCAAAGGGATCAAAAGTTTGCATCACCTAAACTTAGAATACTTGGACCAGAATCACCAACGAATAAAAAATCATCAGTGATAAACCCTGCAGCTAAAAAAGACTGAAAAGATTCAGGCAAACGATGTTGAATGCTGATATCACCCATTGAGATGCATCTAGAAAAGACCCTGTCCAGAATGCAAAAGAGAACGAATGTGTGGTTATCTGTGCCGCAGAACAGCTAAGAAATATGCCTCATCCGTCAGTGCAAAAGGCCAAAATATTTTGCAGCCTAACACGGTAAGAACATTTTTTGATAATTCTGACAGAAGTGTGGCCATTTCTATGAGGGCTGATGGCATTCGTAAGATAGCAACACCAAGTTCAGCTGCAAACTCCGAGTTGAGCCAAACAAATTAATTCTGAATTTCAGATGTTCACCTTAAAACATGACAACTGCAGCGATGACAAGCGTTCCCGGCGGTGCCAAAACCGGGTAATGGTGCCTATAACCCCCATATTACTTTTCAAGATGCCTGCATTGCTAAGTGAAGACTCAAGAACGACGACTTGAGAGTGAGACTGAGACCTGTGGCTGCTCGGCATGGCCGGTCGACTCACGTCTCCTGGAATACGATTGCATTCAGCCGCATGTGGTGGTGTAGACACTGCAGTCACATTTCGACAGCATGGCAGATAGCACAAATTCTATATCCCGTCCATGCATTTCCATTTCAGTCGGTCGACGTCCAACTCTTCACGAGACCAACCACAAGGCTCCCAGAAGTTTCCTCGCCCCAAAGGCACTGGCAAGGGGAAAGTTGACCGCGCTCCCGTTCAGAAATCCCAAGCACCGTAGCGTGCGGCCCTTTAATTTACGCCACCGGTGATACGAGAGGTCGAGAGCCATACTTCTTCAGCCTTACCATATGATCGCTCCGCTCCTCCTGCTCCTCGTCGCTGCCGATAGCTGCCTCGTGGCCACCGGCGGCGGTGGCACCGATGACGGTCGGCGGTTCGTCTACAACGGCTTCACAGGCGCGAACCTGTCGATCGACGGTTCAAGCTCGATCATGCCGAATGGCCTCCTCATGGTGGCCAATGCCACCGGAGATACATTCAAAGGCCATGCCGGCCATGCCTTCCACCCGTTCCCGCTGCCGTTCCACACCGCATCGAACGCCACCGGCTCCGTGCGGTCCTTCTCGACAATCTTCGCGTTCGCGATCTTCCGTCAAGACGACGAACGGAGCGGCCGCCATATGGCCTTCGTGGTCTCTGCATCCAAGGAGGTGCTCTCTACGTCGCCTTTTTCGCCAGACCAGTTCATGTTGTCCGTGGATCTAGGCACGCGCAACGACGACCAGAGCCTAACCTACGTCGATAGCATGCTGTGGCCGCTCCATTACGGCAACGCCGGGTTGCCGCTCCATTACGCCAACGCCGGGTACTACGACGATGTCACCGGGTTATTCCAAAACCTCACCCTGATCAACGGGGAGGCCATGCAAGTGTGGGTGGACTACGACGGCAGGGCCACGGTGATCACCGTGACCATAGCACCACTGGGCTTGGCCAAGCCCAAGAAGCCCCTGCTGCACACCATCATCGACCTCTCTGGTGTGGCGCAGAGCACGGCATACGTCGGGTTCTCCTCTGGGGGCATGCCTCGCACAAAATATTTTGTCCTCGGCTGGAGCTTCGCGTTGGATGGGCCGGCCCCTGTACTAGACATCTCCGTGCTGCCAGCCTTGCCAGCAGCCTGGAGCAACTCAGGGTCTATGTCCATCTCAATGAAGATCGTTCTGGCCTTAACATCGGTGGCGCTGATTTCAGTAGGCATCGGAACCTACATCTTTGTAAGACAGCGTCTCAAGTACTCCGAGGTGCACGAGGATTGGGAGGTCCCATTTGACCCGAACCGATTCTCTTACAAGGACTTGTTTCATGCGACGGAGGGGTTCAGTGACAAGAACCTCCTTGGGAGGGGAGGTTTTGGAAGTGTCTATAAAGGAGTGCTTCGCAAGCCTGATATGGAGGTTGCCGTGAAGAGAATGTCACACGATTCAAGGCAAGGGGTAAAGGAGTTCATTGCTGAGGTGGTGAGCATTGGTCGTCTTCGACACCGAAATCTTACACAATTGTTGGGTTACTGCAGGTGTAAGGGTGAGCTTCTCCTGGTTTATGAGTACATGGCAAATGGTAGCCTTACAAGTACCTACACAATAGGAATGGCCTAGTTTTGGATTGGCCTCAGAGGTATGGGATCATCAAAGGTGTGGCCTCAAGCTTGTTCTATCTTCGTGAGAAATGGGAGCATGTCGTCATCCACCGAGAGATAAAGCCAAGCAATGTGCTCTTGGATAGTCAGATGAATGGGCGGTTAGGGGATTTTGGTCTTGCAAGGATATACAACCACGGAACCGCCGCTCCAGCCACCCACGTGGCTGGTACCATTGGATATCTGGCACCAGAACTTGCGCGCACAGCGAAGCCAACGCCCTTCACCGACGTATATGCATTTGGCATGTTTCTCCTAGAGGTCACATGTGGTCGTAAGCCAATCTTCACCGGCGAGCAAAATAATAGGTTATTGTTGGTAGAGTGGGTGCTTGAGCACCATCGGGATGGCTCAATCCTCGACACGGTAGATCCACGACTCCAAGGGGAATTCAGCATGGAGGAGGTAACCATCGTGCTAAAACTTGGTTTGATATGCACGTACCCGTTGCCCAATGTGCGGCCTATCATGCGAAAGGTCATGCAATACCTCGTCCACAATCAATCGCCCCCTGATTTATCACCAGCATACATAAGCTACATGTCCCTAATGCAAAGCGAAGGGTTTAATTCAGACAACATGAACACAACATGTTCTGAGGCCGCAATGAGTGTTGCCACTGTATCTTCAGC